GGGACATGGAACAGTTTGCATGTCTGATTCTGGCTCCACCAGTGTCTGAAAAGTGTCTAGAGAACCTGGAATTAGTCAGCACTGGAGCATGTGGAAACTGTGCAGAATCCTGCAAAGGAGGTCATGCAAGGCAGTCCTTAGCGTCAAGGCTGAGTCCTGGAGTGGGGGCCGGGGAGGGGGCAGGTAGAAATCTGGGACACCTCTGGGAGTGCCTGTCTCCTGAACTGCAGCAGGAATGTGCTCCTAGAATTGGGCCTTGGTACTGTGATGCTACAAGCCAGTGTCCTGTGGGACTCCCCTACCCTTCTGCTCATTATGGCTGCATTCGCTGAGAACAAATCCCAGGGCTGTGATGCCAGGTGGACCAGCTGGCAGGGCATGGAGGGTGAGGGTGGAGGCTGCTTCCATCACACCAGGACCAGCAGTGACAAACTCAGTGTAAGAAAGAGATCAGAGAGCTATCTTCACCTAGTGAGCACATCAGATGGGGAATCCCTACTAAATACTCAACTAAGTACCAGGCAGTGTTCCAAGCGCTTCCAATGTATATCATTTATTCATCAATATTCCCCATCTTGCCTCTAAAGGGATGGAAGCTCAGGGAAAGAAGGAGGGAACTGGCAGGAAGTCAATCAGCTGCTAAAAAGAGGAACATTCTGAAAACCCAGCCCCATTACAAAGCCAATGCCCCCACCACACTAGGTCAGGAACCTAGCTGTCTGCCTTCAGGACTTCTCGTCCATCTTCCCATGACGGCTGAAGGGAGGGAGAAGGTGGGGGGCGCCTCTACAGGTGGGAAGGCTGGGATCAGAAGTTATGCATAGATGATAGATAGATAGATAGATAGATAGATAGATAGATAGATAGATAGATAGATAGATAGGAAGGTATTTCTGCCAGATGCATTTGAGATATTCTCAGCTTCCACGCAGGGAAACCCTTAGACTTGTCTCTAGGGCAATACAGCTATCAAGGATCAAACAAGGAATGGATGTGAGACACGGACATGTTCAATATGCGATCTGAGATAGACCGGGGACTGTAGAAAGGAAAGAGGCTGTGTCCCTTCTAATAATGATAACAACTGTTACAGCTCACCTTCACCTGTTAGAGACTTTCTTAGGCATTTTCACAAAATAATTCATTTCACTCATAGGTAAACTCTATGAAATGGGCACCAACATTATCCCTGCTTTGGACCTCGTGAAAATGGACCCTAGAAATTAAAAAAAAAAAAAAAAAAAAAAAACTCTCCCAAGGTCTTAACAAGAGCGAGAGGCAGGCCTTGGACTTGAACCCTGGCATTCAGGGTGTCTTCTCCAACTTCTTGCCCTCCTCTTGCTCAGCGTGAGTTTTCTTGCTTCAGCCACTGCAGAGTCCCAAGGACCCCCTTTTCCATGCCCTACCCCATTCCTTCCCAGCAGCCCAGTGTTATCAACACAAGGAATGTTCACAACAGAGCAGCCCGCACAGGAGTAACAAAAACTTGAGGGTTTTAAAAAGCAGTTTGTCTCCTGGTGCCAGCAGATCCGAGGGCCTCGTGTTGGGAGAACAACCGCTGTGGGAAAAGGCAAATGAAAGAGAAGAAAGTTGGGACTTCAGCAGGTGGTGGAGAAGGTCAGGTGGAAAGGAGAGCTCTGTTTGTCTCCCTAGCCCAGTGGCGGGGGCGGGGCTTGGGGAGCAGAGCAGAATGCGACCCCTGATGAGTGTCCCTCCAGCCCTGAGAATCCTCCCCAACAGGAAAAAATCAAAAGGAAAAATAAAAGTTCTTAATTTTTAAGATTGGAGGCATTTTTTGAGGTCCAGTAAGTACAGTGGGAGAGTAGAGAAAGTTTACTCTTCCCTAAATCTTCAGGCAAAGATAATTCCTCTGGTCACACATATACACACACCTACACACACATACACACATACATACACATGCACACCCAATACCCATACAAACACACACAGACACATGTACACACACACGTGCACACACAGCCATCAACATACACACCCCCACACGTGCACGCCTACACCACACGTACACAACCACAGTGCATTCACCCATGCACACACACACACCACACATACACACCCATGCACACACACCACACACACAGAAAATAACAGCTGTGTGGGAGACACGGAGGAGTCTCAGTGATGCAGTTTAGTATTTGTCCTGGAAAGTTCAACAAGATCATGGATTTCGTTCGATTGGAGCAAAGTGTTCGACTTTGTTTTTTTTTTTTTGTTTTTTTTGTTTTTTTTTTTTTGCCATCCTCTCCTTTATCACACCTGATAGGAGCATGCACCATGATCCTGTCTCCACATGGATGCCTCCAGTGCAGACCAGTCCCTAGCTTCAGAGGGGATGAGGGCGGGAGTGGAGAAGGCAGACAGTGGGGAAAGATCTTTGCCCCTATGCTAACAGAGAATTGATCTGAACACCCTCCCCCTTCCCTGCCGGAATTGGATGGTTCCTCCTGCTAAGACCAAAAATCAAAGGGTCCAGCCTTGCCCTGTCCTCTGGGCCTCTCCCTCAACCCTCCCCCAGGACCTGTCAGCCCCACTACCAGGCCCAGATTCCCGGTAGAGGCAGGGTTTGCTCTAACCACTGCTCTCCACGTCCCTCCCCCCGACCTTTCAGCCTTCTTACCCAAAGTGGACAGGGTTGGCCAGTCCACACATGCACCCCCCTACACACACACACCCTGAAGCTGTGCCAACTCGCAGTGACCAGCTCCAAGCAAGGACCCAGTGACCTCTCTGCTGTCCCTCCTGTCAAGGTGACCCCTTTGGGGAAGCCAAGCTTGGTGGCAGTTTCAATTAAACGCAGAAAAGCAGTTAATGGAATTTTTTTTTTTTTTTAAGTCACGGGGCTAGAGAGCAGCCTCTGTCCAAGCTAGGCTTCCTTTTGCAACACACCTCCCTCTCCAGCTGCCCTACCCAAGTGGCACCAAGGGGATGGAAAGGCACGCATTCTCAGCTAACGTTTTTTCCCGGTAACTCTCTTCCTTTGAAACAAACAGAAGAAGGGGGAAGGAGGAGTGTTCCTCCTGAGTCACTGTTGTCCCCCTCCAGGTTGTCCCAACCCCGGGGTATCTGAATTCTCAAGGTAAAGAATCACTGAGCCACAGCCCCGCCTGAGCCTGTGTGATCGACGGCGGGGGCGGGGTGGGGGGGGCGGCGATGGATTTGAGCTGCAGCCCAGCTTCCAGAGTTCTCCTTCCCCTCCCCCGACCAAAGTTGTGCCAGTGGGATTCCCGAGGGGGGGGGGAGGACAGGGAGGGACAACAATAGCCGCCCCCCCCAGAGGGGCGCACCGACCCTTAGTTTGGAAAGCCCTGAGGCGCAAAAAGGGAAACAAACATGTCAGTGCGTCCTTCCCCGCCTTCCCCACTGGACGTGGTGCCCTCCCGACCGCAGGGCCCCTTCGGGCCCTTCGCGACCACAGCTGCTCTGATGGGCAGAGCCCGCAACCCGCGGGCGTTAGCCTTGAGCGCTTGAATAGGAGGCGGTAGGTAACCGCTAGGTGCCAAGGTGGAGGAGCCGCAGAGCTGTGGGGGGCTGTGGAGGGGGGGAACCTGTGCTGGGTCAGGAGCCCCTAGCTCCTGGCGCCCACGGGACCACGAGGGGGTTGTGCAGGGAGGGGAAAGCCTTTCACAGCTCCACCCCTGGGGCCTCCTTGTTCCTTGACAGACTTGCTCTGGGAGGGAGGAAGCCGGTAGAAGGGGCCAACTTGCTCTTCCTCTGCCTCCTCCTCCTCTTCACCTGCTCCCAGCACACCTGGGTCTCTCCCTTGCTGTCTGCCTCTCAGGCAGCTCTGGGAAACTACCTCCCCCAGGCCTGGGTGCCTAGAACCCAGTTCTACACAGACACCCCTCCAACCAATCACATCCTCTCTTTATCCAGCTGCGCTCCCAGAGCCCAGCTCTTTCCAGCCCACCCAGTTAGCACCAACTCTGCTGGCACTTCTTGCCCAAGGACTCTTAAACTAGAAGACTTCCTGTACCCCTAAATGGAGGAGCTGAAGCAGGGTAGGAGAGTAGAACAGACTTTATTGAAATGAGGTAGTTGCTTGAGAATTCCAGAAACCTCAGAGGGGTCACCACGGTCTCCAAGCTTCCCAGAAACCCTTGCTGCTGCTTCTGCTGGGTGCCCTCACCGCAGCCTGGGCCTCCCGGGGGCATCTCTCTCAGGAGCACGGGTGGAGACCAGGGGAGAGGCTCCTGAAGTTTCAGGGAGCCAATAAATAGGGGAGGAAGTAGAGGGCGCATGCCTGTGCATTCCTGGCTGAGGCTTGCTGGTGGCAGGCCTTGCACAGAATTCTAGAAGTCTCTGGAGTACCCAGTTCCAAATCACTTTGGTGGGAGGAGGCAGGTCTCAGAAAACAATCTCTGGAGGCTGCATTAGTGCAATACAAATGGGCCAGGAGAGGGTTAATAGGGTTAGATGGGGTGGGGTAGGGCTTTTGGCCTGTCACAAGGCAGCTGGTGCTATTGTAAGGTCTGCGTGGTGACTGGATTAAGAAATCTATAATAATATTCCTGCATCCAAACCCCTCCCCCACACGAAGTTCAAGGCCTTCTCTGTCCTGGGCCTAGAGGGGAGTAGAGAAGAGTGCATGGGAAGAACTCTCCATACTGAAAGGCACTGGACTTAATGAGCTTAAGTTGGAAGGCAAAGAAGAAGCCAGGAGGATATGCCGGCTCCCACTCCCAGCCACGTGCTGGCATTGACCCAATTCCCAGATCAAGGGCGGAAAGCCTTCTCTCCACACCTGGAGGGATTGAGGGCTTCCCAAGCCTCCCTCTGGTCCTTCAGGGTTGCCATCAGTGCCCCCTAAAAAAACCGAGTTTCCTTTTCCTCCCCTTCCCCACCCGGGGTAGGTCTAAAATGATGCCTGGGCCCTTAGGATCAGCAGGGTGGTGACGCCAAGGCGGGGCTAGGGAGATCCTAGCAGAGGACTGGCCTGGGATGCTACTAGGGGAGCCCCGCCGCGTGGAAGGTTAGGCTCAGGACGTGACGGAGCTGGGCGAGGCTTCCGGGGAGGTGCACGTGGACTGGTCCGAAGCATCTCCAGCTGCCTCCTTGGGGCAGCCAGGTGGGGCTGGGGGCGCACGGCCTCCCTCGCGCTCGCGTTTCTTCTGCTTCATGCGGCGGTTCTGGAACCAAATCTTGACCTGCGTTTCGTTGAGCTCCAGGGTGGCGGCGATCTCCACCCTGCGGGCCCTACTCAGGTATTTGTTGAAGTGGAACTCCTTTTCCAGCTCGGTCAGCTGCCGGGTGGTGAAGTTGGTGCGGAGCCCGGCCGGCGCGCTCAGGCCCAGCTCCGACACCTTTCCTAGGGGCGGGGCAGGGAGAAAGATCACGTTAGTTCTCTCACCTCTTTCTCCCAGACCAGTTCGGTAACCCTCATCACCCTTTTCTGCCCAGTTATAGTTCCCCAAAACCCCCACCACTATCTCGGCCAAACACACACGGAGGAACCACCGCCCGCTAAGGAACACAGGCGCATCAAATCTTGGGCCCGTCTGAAAACTTACTCCTGGGCGGGAGGAATAAACCTAGCTTATTCAGGCTGGACCTGAGATGCAGTGGACTGCTCTCATATCTGCCTCTATCTGAGCAGACCTAGAGAGAAGATCCCATTCCAGGAGCAGGTCCCCTTTGTGCCAGCGTCCCGGAGAGGACCTGGCCACGCCTGAGCCCTACCTGTCTTGGGTGGGTTCCTCTTGACCTTCATCCAGTCAAAGGTGCGGGCTGGGGGAGTGCTAGATTCAGACGGGCAGGGCGGATCCTTGTCTTCAGAGAGATCAGCAGCAGAGAAAGTAGGTGCAAAGTTCGTCCCCTGTTCGTTGTAAGAGGGCTGCGGTGGGGGATACGGCCCCGGGCCGGGTCCACCCACTCCGTAGCCGTCGGACAAACCCCCTAGTTGAGCCCCGTAGCTCGAGGGATGGAAATAGCCTCCTTCTTCCGATTGTCCCAGAGTGTAGTACTGAGTAGGCGCATAGCTGTGGCTGCAGGCGGCCTGGGCGTACCCCGGGGGTGCGGAGCTGGGGAAGGGCATGCCCAGTGCTGCCGGCGGCTGCTGGGCGGGATAGCCCGGGCTCTGTTGGAGTGCGGGACTGGACAGCCCCCCGCCATAGCGGCCCTCGCCCGCGTAGCTGTCATCAGTGGGTGCCGAGTTGGGGGGATAGGATGTCGGAGTGCTGTGGGCGCTGTAGGCGTTGGGTCCCCGGTTACAGAGTGGATATTCTAAGAAGGAGTTCATCCTATTATAGTCCATGCGTGGAGGCCGCAGGAGGGTCGGCCCGTTTGGGGGAGACACCCTTTTGCCCTACAACCTTTCGGCAGTATGTCACAGCACTGAGGCTCGCGTCCATGGCCTGGCCCAGCTCGCCGTGGGCCACCGCTCCCCTAGGAAGGGGGTAGGGCGTGGGGGTGGGGGGGCCACATGTGATCTCTCCCAGGCCAATGGGCAGAGCGGGGCAGAGTTTGGCAGCCCCGGCGCCCATCCATCACCCCCCAAGCATTAGCATGACAAAGCCACTTCAATCACCGGCAGCCCATCCATCTGAGGGCGACGTGGAAGCCTCAAAACATCTTTCTTCAAAGACTTTTGGAAAGAAGGGACCAGAGGGAGAGGGGCAGAGTTGGAAGAATATTCAAGACTTCCCTCCCTTCCCAACCCCCCAGGCCTTCAATAGGGCTCCTGGGTTATTAGATTTGGATAAATTCAACGCAGCTGCCCCTCACTCTTCCCACCCATCAGAGGAGCTTCCCCCCACCCCAAGGCTGCAGACCTGGAGGTGGGGAATCGGGGGCTCCTTGCTGGACCTAGACTGACACTCGGTGCTACTTTCTCCCAATTTGTCTTGGGGGGTGAGGAGCCAGGACAGCTGGGTGAGGTCTGTTATCTTGGACCAAATGGATGACTGTGAAGGGAGGGGTGCAAAAACTCCCTCCAGAAGGGTGTGAGGGAGGTGGGGGGAGGGAACCTAGGATCTTGTGGAAGAATTTGTGACTCCAGGGGTAAGAACACGGCATTTCAAGGAGCGAGCCAGGACTACAGAAAAGCAGCCCCGGGGATGGGAAAGGGCAAGCCCCTCTCCCCAGCTCTCTCTGCATAAGCACTCGGTCCTCATTCACACATCCATTTCTCTCCCTCTGCCTCGCTTTATATTCTCTCTGTCTCAATCCATCTCTCTGTTCGTCCATCTCTCTCCATATTTATATTCGGTCCCTACCTATCCATCAACTCATCTCTCTAGATGGATTTATCCTCTCTCTAGCCATCCATAGCTGTATGTGGTTCACTCACTCAGACTTAAATAACTCCCAATGTCTCTCCAGAGAACTGCGAGGAATAGAGCTAGGTGATGGCTCTGTGTGTGTGTGTGTGTGTGTGTGTGTGTGTGTGTGTGTGTGTGTGTGTTACTATTTTGAGCTCTCCTAAGGGTCCAAAACCAGGGGAAATCCTGGATTCTCCAGGTACCCTCCCATATCTCCTTTCTAAAAGGAGACCATGCCCAGCCTCCAATCAGTTAGAAGTTCCTTAGCTGGTGGGGTGGAGGTGGGGGTGGGAGGACTTTTCTAGAACAGGTAAAGGAGGGTTTGCTCTGAGCAGAGGCTGGTCAGCCTTGAGGCCCTGCGGCTGTAGTCTGACCCCTTCCAGAGGGGAGGGAGACAGGAAGCATCCTCCTCCTTCCCTGAGACCCCGCGGCGGCTGGAGGAGAAGCTCCTAGGTAGAATACATCGGATCCTCCTCCTCCCGGCTCTGAGGACAAGGGCTTGGTGCAATTCAACACCCACGCTCATTTGTAACCTGTCAGGGTGTCTGCCCAGCCGGAGGCCTGGGGCAGGGGCTAGGGCAAGTCCACAAGGGCAAGAGTTCAGGGAGGAATCTCTGTAAACAACTGTGCCCAGGAGAGGAAGAGGAAGCAGGTGGGCCAGGTCCAAGGAGTTCCCAGCAAACTTCTCAGGTTTCTCTGCAAAGGGCAGGACCAGCCCTGGTCCCTCTACAGGAGACCCATGCGCGGCCTCTCTCAGCCCCTGTGGCAAGCCCTCTTCCCCTGTCTCTTGTTGTCTCCTCACTTTTTTGGTAACCCTTCTCCCAGATCTCCTGTTGGCTGTCTCTCAACCTCACTGTGAACCTCGCTCAGCCTCCAGCTAAGCTAGAAGAGTTAGCAGCATCCCACGGAGTCCCTGTCCCCTTTCCTGCTTTAGACCCCGCTGAGCCCAGGACAGGCTGGCTGGAGGAGGAGGAGGACCAGATAGCAACTTCTTTAAGCGGAAAGCCCTGGGGGGAGGGTGACAAACTCTCCCCTAGCCAAAGGGCAAACAAAGGAAAGAATTGAAATGGGGAGGGGGTGTTGTGTGTGGAAGGATTGAAGACAAAAGAATGCCTGAGAAATATGCTCCGAGCGATTTCTCTCCTGTTTCACTGTAAGGAGAGTGTAGTTATAGCTGCTTTCCACCTGGCCCTCTCACTTTACAGCGGGCCCCCCAGGAGAGTCCTCTGGTGACCTCACTGCCTTGCTTCTCAGAGCCGTGCTGTTTCTTCACTTTGCCCCTTTCCCTCAGCCCAGGATGAACCCTCTCACTCTGGCCCGTGTCCTCCTAAAGAAGGGGCCAGTTTAGCTCTAAAGGAAGTCAGTTCTAAACCCTGTTTACAAAAACAGCACAGGAACAGACACTTGGTACAGTGGCACTGCTCAGGGCACCTGACAACCCACACTGGAGTACCTGTGTTCAAACCCCAGCTCCGCTCCGATGCCAACTTCCTGTTTGTATGTAGCATTGGAAGGCAGAGATGGTGGCAACAGACATGTCCCCACCAGCCAGGCGGGAGACCTGGATTGAATGCCCAGCTTCTGGCTCAGGTCAGGCAGGGCTGGGAAGGGACCTCTGGGACATAAGCTTCTGGTTGGGCTTGCACCCTCTTTCCCTCTCACGTTTAAAGGGAGGGCCAGTTTAAAACCCCAGCACAAACCTGTCTAGGAAGTGGCAAAAGGCTACCATTCCTGACTGTAAGAAAAGGCTGCCTTAGTGGGTGAAACGTCTTAGGAAAAGTCCATGGAGAATGTTTATAAGAAGATGTACATGGACTTCAGTGTCTCTGCACTAAAGCAGCTATAACTTTTTTTATTATTATTATTATCATTTTATTGGAAAGGCAGATATACAGAGAGGAGAGACAGAGAGGAAGATCTTCCATCCGATGATTCACTCCCCAAGTGAGCGCAACGGCTGATGCTATGCCGATCCGAAGCCAGGAGACTCTTCCGGGTCTCCCACGTGGGTGCAGGGTCCCAAAGGTTTGGGCTGTCCTCGACTGCTTTCCCAGGCCACAGGCAGGGAGCTGGAAGGGAAGCGGGGCTGCTGGGATTAGAACCGGCGCCCATATGGGATCCCGGGCGTGCAAGGCGAGGACCTTAACCACTTGCGCCACCGCGCCTGGCCCTATATCTTTTTTTTTTAAAGATTTTTTTTTTTTATTGGAAAGTCAAATATACAGAGAGAAAGGGAAACAGAGAGAAAGATTTTTCCATCCTCTGGTTTACTCCCCAAGTGGCTACAACGGCTAGAGCTGAGCCAATCCAAAGCCAGGAGCCAGAAGATTCTTCCGGGTCTCCCATGGGATGCAGGGTCCCAAGGTTTTGGGCCATCCTCAACTGCTTTCCCAGGCCACAAGCAGGGAGCTGGATGGGGCCACTAGGATACAAACCGACACCCATGTAGGATCCTGGCAAGCACAAGGTGAGGACTTTAGCCACTAGGCTACAACACCGGGTCCAAGTTTCCTCTTCTTTAAAAAGATGCTTCATCTGGGGCCAGCATTGTGCCCTAGCAAGTAATCTCGCTTGGTTTGATCCTGGCTGCCTCAGTTCCAACCCAGCTCACTGCTAATAGCCTGGGAAAAGCAATAGAAAATGACCCTGCCATCCATGTGGGAGACCCTGAAGATGCTTGTGGCTTTGGCCTAGGGTAGTCCTGCTTGGCCTTTGCAGGTTTGGGGGAATGAACCAACAGACGGAAGATTGATTGGCTGATCTATAACTATCTATCTATCATCTATCTATCTCTTGATCTCCGTCTCTCTGTAACTCCAATAAAATTAAATTTACCAGAAAAAGCCTGAGGAGATCTGACACCAAAAAGTAGTGAAGTTGGTTTCCTAGAATGTGTGATCTGCTTAGACAGGTAAGAATTCAGGATGCGTTCAGTTTGAAGTGTCGCTGTCTGTTCGCCTCAGTCCAAACCTTGGGAGGTTAAATCCAAGATCAAAAGTTGGAGCTTAGGAAGCAGGTTAGCGTTCAGAGCAGCAGTCAAGTGGCTTTTTCCGAAATTCACTTCAGTTCTGGAGTGTGCGGTTCGACTCCAGGCTGCTCAGCCTCCTGACCTGCTTCCTGCTAGTGTGCACCCTGAGCAGACAGCTGCATGTGGCCCTTGCACTGACTTGGGAGACCTGGATGGATTTCCAGGTGCCTGGTTTGGATCTGTCCCAGCCATGGCCACTGTGAGCATTGGGACCTGTTGCTGGAATTCAGAAAGTGAATCAGTAGCTAGAACATCTCTCTGTGTTTGTGTTTCAAATAATTCTTAAAACTAACAGGATGTTCCAGGTTGTGGTTTTTCTCTTTTTATGATTTGTTTATTTTTATTAGAAAGTCAAATTTACGGGCCTGGCGGCGTGGCCTAGTGGCTAAAGTCCTCACCTTGAACACACCAGGGTCTCATATGGGCGCCGGTTCTAATCCCGGCAGCTCCACTTCCCATCCAGCTCCCTGCTTGTGGCCTGGGAAAGCAGTCGAGGACGGCCCAAAGCCTTGGGACCCTGCACCCGTGTGGGAGACCTGGAAAGAAGTTCCTGGTTCCTGGCTTCAGATCGGCATAGCATCGGCCGTTGTGCTCACTTGGGGAATGAATCATTGGACAAAAGATCTTCCTCTCTGTCTCTCCTCCTCTCTGTATATCTGACTTTCCAATAAATAAACAAATCTTTAAAAAAAAGTCAAATTTACAGAAAGAAGGAGAAGCAAAGATCCTCTATTCACTGGTTCACTCTCCAAGTGACCACAATGGCCAGAGCTGAGCCAATCCAAAGCCAGGAGCCAGAAGCTTCTTCTGGGTCTCACACATAGATGCAGAGTCCCAAGGCTTTGGGCCATCCTCTATTGCTATCCCAGGCGATAGGCAGGGAGCTGGATAAGAAGTGGAGCAGCCAGGATACGAACAGGTACCCATATGGGATCCTGGCACATGCAAGGCGAGACTTTAGCCACT